TTGTTTTCTGAGTTATATTTAAGAAGAGTAAAGTTATTCACATAAAGTTTTTATTCTTCTGTATTTATTCTTTTGTATCATGTGCCACAGTCATACTGAACTTGTCTAATGTCGATTCACTGTTTGAGTTTGGTCTTAAACTCCAGAGAATACCACCTGGTTCAACAATCTTTTTATCTTATTATTTGCAAAACTGTTTTCTTCTGAGAGATGCTCCTGAGGCTGAAATTGAGCCCAGAGAAACAACAACAAAGTTTAGTTCCTCTGGATTGTCCATGGACAAATTATTTTATCACTCATCCAGGTGACTTCACCAGTATCATAGATGAGTGATGCATATATCTCCCACTGGAAACCATTGTGTTCAGTCAATCGACTTTTTTAAGGAGAGTTGTTAGATGCTGTGCTCATGAGGACAATGAGTTTTAACTTGCAGCACAACACAAAGCTGAAATACTGGATCAACAATCAAAACACTTAACTGAGAAGAATTAAGTCAAAATGTAATATCCTCATATGATGACACATCAGACATGACCCAGCATTGTTCTAAGAATGCAAACTCTCTTATTGGAAGTTTCCACAGCTGCCAGAAAGGGACAGATTTCTGGCTGGTCTTAATGAGTGGTCGTTGCTCTCTCATTTTCTCTGGAATTGCTGCACAGAGGATGTAACACCCATGATAAGTGCTGAGGTGTGTCCTTGTCAGGAATTAGCCATCCTCAGCTTTCAAGTAAGGAAAAGTGGAACCAGAAGATATTGAAATGCATCTCTCCACAGCTGCTGATTCTACAAAAAAACAAAGTTTGATAAAAACATTTGCAGGTGAATCACCACTGATTTATCATTGACATCCATTTACTCAAATTACTGGCAAGTGGATAACTAGAATATATAGTTTATAATTTCAACAATGTACTGTAAAAAAAATGGAACTTTATATGACAAATGTGGTGTGGTGCTTGTAGAATTTTTAACAAGGACCCTACAAAACTTTACAGTACTCATGCTGCCAAACTTCTGATGGCTCGGTGTGCAGTTCCTGCTTTAAATGCATTCACTTTTAAGACTAAGAAATCTAAGTGATAAGAGGCCAGAAATGTTTGAACTCGCTTATGAACCTAAATCACTGAGGCCGTCTCTCCTGCATGGAGTCCAGGTGCTGGTTTTCCAGTGTGTGCATCTGATGCCCCAAAGCTGCCTCAGAGCTGTAACACCATCAACGGCTGCAGTATGGGACAGATGTGGGTGTGTCCTCATCTCCCAGAGGAGTCCAAATCGTCATCAAACAGCCCTACAGTCACAAAAACGTGAAAATATAAACAACCAGACTATCAGCAGAGATTTAACTACTTTAAGACCTCTGTGAAAATCATTTACAGTATATATATCACAGAATTTAAGGCCTTTATAATCACAGAGCATACAGAGAAAAGTACTAAACTGAATCAATTTCAGCTTTTGTTTCTCATGATGTATATTGTATTAATAATTAAATTTCATTATCTGTGTATTTACCATACATTTGCCACACAGGTGTAGATACTGTAGGTTCAGTGAATGCTTAAATTGCACCGATTACAATATACTGGAGATTCAAAGCTAAGATTCAGCGCACTGTGTTAGAGGCTGGGATTTGACTTCATCACATATACAACCTTTGATCATCGTTTATGTCCAGTTGAGAATGAATCTGTGCACTCACATATTAAATGAACTGAAATCAGTAGTGTGATCTCCAGTCTTGATATAAGGAATGAGAGAACTGATAGCTGTTATTTTAATGAGCCTGTCTCAGTTGTTTTAACTCTAAGTACCACAGAGTAATGCGGTAAGATCTGGACTGACGAGTTTACTGTCAGCATTTTAATCGCTAGTTTAAAGGCTGTAGGTTGCAGCCATTGCTCTAACACTGTATGGCCTCAGTGCTGGTTCTAATAGTCTGAGCTGCTTTCAGCTTTATGTGTGAAGAGGACAGCAGCTTACAAAACACGTAGTTAGCTCATACAGCTGCGACGTAAAATTTTCATAAACTAAGATCACCTTAAAATAACGGGGCTACGTGCGGTGATGCTAGCGTTAGCCATGTTAGCACGTTAGCTTCAACAGGTGGTCAGACTGCGAAAACAGGCACTCAGTCAGAGGTTGCGCTCTCCGTTTCGCTGCAGGGTCCCTGCATTCTTCACATATCCGTGTCGAGCCGAGTGTAAACCCTGAGGCTGAACGACCTTTGTACAAGCACACACGCTTCTTAGCAGGGCGAAGCTATGAGCTAGAAAAATCCAGGCAGACAGCCTGTATCTGTCCAACCAATCAGAGAGCTCCTTACATTCCATGGTGTGGCTAATTTGAATAGCGGCTAGGAAGTTGTTAATCGAAGAGCTAATCCAGCAGCTAATCCAGCAGCTAATCCCTGAGCGAACAGGAAAGGGAAATGGATTTTGAAATGACATTTATTAACGTGCAAATGGAAAAAGGTTCTTGAAATGCAGTTTATAAAAAAGCAAATGGAAAACGGATTTTGAAATGCAGTTTATTAAATTGGAATTCAAAAATGAATTTACAAATGCAGAATTTATTCTACAATTCATTATTTAAGCACAGAATTCTTTATTTTGATGCACGTGGCTCTTGTGGTACTCCATAGTGAAAAAGGTTTTGATTGTTGGATTGTGTTTTGCTCAGGTGAGTGTGTGTTATGAAAAATCTGTTTCGAGAATGCATTAAGAGTGGTGAGAATGACTTTTCTACTGTGAGAACTGAGCCAAATTGATTGAGGAAAAACTATAATGTAGAGTTATATTTTTTCACAAACGAAATGTGAAGGATTTTTTTGAAACTTCAAAAAACTGATGAAATGGAAAAAAGCAAAATGATACTCGCATCAGAAAACAGACAAAGAAAATAGACACAGTCTGAGAACATAGAACCAACTAAGGTATAGTCCAGTAAAGTCATGCTACATACATTCAGCAACCACTTTATTAGGTACCCCTTTTCTCCTACACTTCACAGTGATCCATCCATCCATCCATCTTCATCCACTTTATCTGGGGCCGGGTCACAAGGGCAGCAGCCTAAGCAGAGAAGCCCAGACCTCCCTCTCCCCTTCTTCACAGTGATCCAAATATCTAATCAGCCTTTCACATCAGCAGCAACTCAGTGCATTTCAGCATGTAGACATGGTCAGGACAGGCTGCTGAAGTTCAACCCAAGCATCAGAATAAGGATGAAAGATGATTGAACGTGGCATGGTTGTGGATGTTAGACGGGCTGGTGTGAGTATTTCAGACATTGTTGATGTACTGAGATTTTACTGCACAACCATCTCCAGGGTTTACATGGAATGGTCTGAAACGGGAAAAATACCTAGTGAGCAGCAGTTCTCAGGGTGAAAATACCTTGTTGATGTCAGACGAGAATAGCCAGATTGCTTTGAGATGATAGGAGAACAACAGTAACTCAAAAAATTACTAATTACAAACAAGCTATGCAGAAGAGCATCTCTGAAAGCACAACACATCTGTCTGTAAAAAGCAGGTGGGCTACAGCAACAGAAGACCACACTGGGGGCCACAGCTGTCAGCTAAGAACAGGAAACCAAGGCACAATTTGGCACTGACTCCCCAAAATTAGACATTAAAAGATTGACTCCACAGTAACCAGATCTCAGTCCAGTAGGGCATCCTTGGGATGTGCTTGAAAGGGAAATTTGGATGAGCAGTTGTGAAACAAGATTAAAAGTTTGTATTTCTATTTGTTGCAAGTAAACCTCTTCCAGTGCATTACTGTGTTTCCTCATGCAAGGGTTTTTATTTGTTGATCACCAAGTTGAACTCAGTGACTGACTTTCCATGTTTTTACATATGTGCGAAAAGGTTTTTATTGTTTTAGTGTCTTTTGCACAAGTGAATCTGTGTTGGAAAAAATGCTTGTCTTGAGCAGTGCCTTAAGAGTGGTGAGAATGATGTTTGTGATATAAGAATTACACCAAATTTATCAAGAAAAACTGTAATACTTAAACACCAAATGGTTTTATAATTTTATCAAAATCTTACTGCTTTTGGTAAGAGTACTGTGAGAACTATGGCCTTAATGTAGAGTAAAAGACATTCTGACACAAAATGAAATGTGAAAGGTTTATCTGATACTTTCCAAAATGTTATTTCATTGAAAAGCAAGATGATAAATGTGAAACTATCTTCTTTTTATTTTTCCTCTGGCCAGTTTTTTAATGGGTTACCACAGCTGATCAACAACCTCCATCTCCCCCTATCTCCAGCATCTTCTGCTGTCACACCAACCTTTTTTCATTACATCCATGAATCTTCTCTGTGGTCTGCCTCTTTTCTTCCTTCCTGGCAGCTTCATCTTCATGCTTTGTCCAATATATCCACTATCACTCTACAGCACGTGTCCAGGCTGTCAGGCTTACCTCGCTGACTTTGTCTCCAAACCTAAAACTGAGGAGTCCCTCTCATTTCTAATCCTGGCCATCCTGGTAACTCACAGTAAAATCTTAACATCATCAGCTCTGCCATCTCCAGCTCTTTCTCCTGTCACTGCCTCCAAACTGTAAATCATAGCATGTCTCACTATTGTCTTGTAAATCATCCCTTTCACTCGCTGCCACCTCTGACCCTATATGCTTGAGAAAACAGACAGTGATGAAACATGTAAACTTAGAACATTACAAATTAATACATAATACATTAAACCCCCACTACATATAAGAACAGAATATGCTTGTGTGTAATTAGCAATGCCATGATGTGCACCTGTGATACAAGACTGAGGCAATATGTTTCCATTAGCTTTAAACTGGGGGACAGTTTCACTACTACCACTGACAGTGTGTGAGTGGCCTCAGTGTTCTGCAGAGAAGTAAGAGACATGTAGGTCTGACTGACAAAAGTAAAGTTGTGAGATTGAGATAGGAAGTGCATCGACACAATAACAAAATGTGTTTAGCTGTATGTGTAGACACGATGAGAAAAGCTAATGTGGGCAGAGAAATGTGTTCCTAAGGTGAGAACTGCACCAATTCAGAATAGTTAAATATTAATAATATATAAAAAGGATATTGGTAACAAATCCAATATTATAGAGCAGTAATTTCTCCTGTTTCTGTTAATGTAGCATGGCTAGATCTACTGCTATTATTTTCAAATATATGAGTACACATAAATATAGTTTAATATGTTTTAATTGAACCACAATGGATAGAGAAGAGAAGCATATGAGAATAATTACATTTTAATCCTTTTTCCTGTCACCCACATGTACTTGTAGTGGCTGGTTTCAGGGCAGTAAACCAATCCCCCAGTCTCATTGTCTTATCTTGCACACTATGTCTGTTATTGTGCTCACAAGGGAACAGGTGCGTGTGTTTTTTGGGGAAGGATTTTTTGAGCAGATGACTGAAAGGCAATACAAAGTTGGATTTTGTGAAATTAAATGATGAGACAAGAAAATAACATTAAAGTGTCTAATAGCTCTCTCCTCTCTGTCTCTCTCCCTCTCCCTCCATATATATATAT